AGTAATGTGGTCTTATTCACAATTAATTTAATTGGTTAAAAAGTCTACGTGATGATCAAATACGCAAAATCTAAGCCCAAAATCCTAAAAGGCAAATAAATGCATGAGAGTTTAAGAGAAAAATATTTTTTATTACAGTTACAGTTCATGTCTTTTATTAAGTTCTTGCGGCCATAAAATTAATATTAATTTGGTCTTAGTTTAGTAGGCTAAAAAGTCTTCTTCTACTCATGAGTAGTTTCAACAAATTATTTTTCACTGAGGGGAAAAAATTCCAGCTAATCCGAACATGTTTCGGTACAGAATTTTTTTTATAGTAGTAGTAATTATTATATTTGGACTTTGCCCGCTACAAACTCTACAGATGATTTTTTATTTTTAATTGCATTTTCATCGAAAAATTATGACGCCTTCGTGATGAACTGTAGTTTGGTACTTAAAAAATTTTGATCTGCATATCTTTGTCGTTTTGGTCTGTCAGGCACGTTTCGACTTGTCAATAACTTCAGTGGTGGAGTTTAACCAAAATTATAGTATAACAAAATCGAAGATTGCTTGTAGATGGATTTTTAAAACTAAATACCCTAACGTTAGCATTAGAACCACCTGTACAATTAACTACTATGGTCTATCTAGACAATCGGCGACAGAGTAAAATTAAATACAATTAAAATTCAAAAAGAACAAGGCATTACCTTATTTTACACCATCAATTTATACATAATAAATAAATTTCAATGTCACAAACGGGATTCGAACCCATGAACTTCGGCTCAATACGCCACTGCTCTACCACTTGACTTCGATCCACTCGGACACTAACTTCCTTAACAAATAAAATTTTCTAACTTGTTCCAATTAAAACATTTTATTGCATCATTGAGTATTAAAACCAGGAAAAGTCATACAAAATGGAGGTAATGAATATTCAAAATATACCTATAAATCTTGTAATTACACGGTACGATTTCAAATTTGTTCCAATCATTCGGAATATTCTGCAAACAAGCCAGATCTCGGATTTGATGTCAAAGATTCTTGATTAATAAATAAAAGCGTGATATAAATTTTATTTTAAAATGATGATATCATTTAAAAGCATTTGAATTGCTAATTAAGAAAAATAAATGTTGATGCACCATTGGCTACAAAGGAGAAAGCCGTAAAGGAAAAGGGGAAAATAGGCAAACTAAATTAATTAGAAGAAAGCCCATTAAATATTTGTTATAAAAAAGTTTGTTTTAATATAATTTAATCGAATAAAAGCTTCAGACAACATTGACTAAACAATTAAAGAATAAAAAACAATAATGATAATAAAAACAAAAGAGCAAAACCTGATTATGGAGCAACAGTTTCCAGGACCAAAGTACTTTGGATTTGGAATTTTATAAAACAAAAGTTAATATTAATCACAAATCATTTATGTATACAAACATAACCCAGTACGTCTACATTAGATTTTAATGATTTTACCCATTTAAAATGAACTGTGGAATAAAAGATAACTACAAACGTATAATTTTGTATTTACCTATTCTCACTGGTTTTGAGCCAAGCTAGACCAAATGTTCGAAAAGAATATACCAAGTTTTTGTACCTTTGATATTTTATTTTATAGATGAACCAAACCACTGAAACAACGTTTCAATCGCCTGTCATTTAATGTACATATAATACAACTAATAATAACATAACTAATAATATAATACCTATAAATATACATAATAAAAAGCTTGAGAAAAAATATATCCGAAGGTTTTTAATCTCTTGGGACATTTTTGGAGATATATCGGATGTTTCTGACCCTTCCGAGGCTCTTTTTACAGCCACTATAACTGCAAAATAACCTAATGAACCACCTATAATCTATAATAAAAATGAAGATACGCAATAAAACCATTAAAGAGCAAAATGTGGGAACCCGAATGAGTCAATAAATATGATGTGTCTATTTGCCTAACAGAAAAAAAATCAACGTTTTTGAACTTTTTGGCCATTTATTGTTTTATATGAACAACAAAACCAGTAATAAACCTTTCGAACCACCTGTCGTTTAATGAATAATAACAGATACATAATAAAATTAATAAAAAAGTTGAGAAAAAATAGATACTGAAGTTTTGAACCTTATGGGACATTTTTGGTAAAACAAATCAGACATTTTTGACCCTTCTGGAGCTGTTTTTTAGTATCTTTACCAATTTATTTTATTTAACTGAAAATAATTAAAACCTTTGGAACCACCTGTCGTCTAGCATGTAATAAACCATGTATGAAGATACAGAATAAAACTTATGATATACCAAAATAGCGCGACTCGAATAAATTAACAAACATGTTGTGCCTATGCGTCAGAAAAAAATTCAAATTTTTTGCGCCTTTTAGGCATTTTTTTTTAATTTATTGTATATGATGAAAAATTCGGTGAAAAATCTTTTTAACCACCTATAGTCTAACATAACAATAAAGATACATAATAAAACTAGTAAAGAGCAAAAATAGTGGAAACCCACATGAATCAATAATTTTGTGTCTATGTGCCTAAAAAAAAAAAAAAATCACTAGTTTTACAACTTGTGGACATTTATTACTTTATGTGAGGACCAAAACAAGTGAAAAACCTTTTGAACCACCTGTCGTTTAATGAATTATAACTATAAAGGTACATAATAAAACTAATAAAAAGCACGAGAAAACATTTTTGAACCTTTTGGGACATTTTTTGGTGAAATACGTGATGTTTTTGACCCACGTGAAGCTGTATTTTCAGTCACTTTTAGATTTTATTTGATATAACTGAAACTAATTAAACCTTTGGGACCACCTGTCGTCTAACATGTAATAAAGTATAAAGGTATACAATGACTCTAATAAAAAGCAAAAATAGTGGGACTTGAATAAACAAAAATTGTGTATGTCTGAAAAAATGCTTAGTTTTTGAACCTTTTGGGCATTTTTTATTTTACGCGATAAACGAAACCAGTAAAAAAAGAACTGCAACACCTGAAATTTAATGAACAACAACTATACAGATACATAAGAAAAACCTTGAAAAAAAAAAATAGATTCGGAGGTTTTTAACCTTTCAGGACATTTTTTGGTGAAATACAACAGATGTTTTTGACCCTTCTGGGGCTGTTTTTTTAGTCACTTTGCGATTCTATTTTACATAACTGCAAAATAATTAAAAACTTTAGGACCACCTGTCGTCTAACATATAATAAACTCTAAAGATACACAATAAAACTAATAAAGTGCAAAAATAGTGGGGCCCGAATTAATCAACAAACACGTGTCTATGGATCTAAAAGAAAAAAATCCTGTAGTTTTAGAACTTTTGGCCATTTTTTATTTTACCTGGTGAACAAAACCAGCGAAAAACCTTTTTCACCACCTACAGTCTAAAATAACAATAAATATACATAATAAAACTAGTAAAGAGCAAAAATAGTGGAAACCCGTATGAATCAATAAATATGTTGTCTATGTGCCTAAAAGAAAAAAATTCCTAGTTTTACACCTTTTGGACCACCTGTCGTTTAATGAATAATAACTATAAAGGTACATAATAAAACTAATAAAAAGCATGAGAAAAAATAGATACGAACGTTTTGAACCTCTTGGGACATTTTTTGGTGAAATACGTGATGTTTTTGACCCACGTGAAGCTGTTTTTTTCAGTCACTTTTACATTTTATTTGATATAACTGAAACTAATTAAAACCTTTCGGACCACCTGTCGTCTAACATAAAATAAACTATAAAGATACACAATAATGTAATAACTAATGTTGCAAAAATAGTGGGGCCCGAATTAATCAACAAACACGTGTCTAGGGATCTAAAAGAAAAATCCTTTAGTTTTTGAACTTATGGTCATTTTTTATTTTACCTGGTGAACAAAACCAACGAAAAACCTTTTGAACCAACTGTCAACTAACATACAATAAACTATAAATATACACAATAAAACTAGCAAAAAGCAAAACATAGTGGTAACCGAATTAATCGACAAACATCTTATGTCTATGCGTCTAAAAGAAGAAAAACATATCCAAAGTTTTTGCCCCTTTTAGCCATTTTTTAAAAATGATAAATAAACAACAGTGAAATACCTTTTGAACCACCTGTCTGTTGTGTACATCAACTACATATTTATTCGCGATAAAAACTAAAACCACAACAAAATTGACCTGCGGTCGTTTGACGAACCGGGGCAAATTGCATTTTATTAAACAAATGTACCACTTGAATAAAGTCTTTGGAACAAAATATAACCTAAAAAAAGAGGGGAAAATGTGTAATATTAGCAAACTAAAATAATTTCAAAAATCCCCTGAGGTAGAACTATTACTTTTTACTTTTTTTGCCGTCAAAATAGCAATTATTCAGCCTAAAACTTATTTCTACCGTTGAAAAATAATTAATTTGGGGGACGTGTTCTCGTCGGAACGTGAGCGATACACCTTACGCTTGAGACGTGTTTGATCACGTTTCAAAACTTAAAATAACGATGTCGCGACAAAAATGATACAAGCACTTGAATTTTTAAAAAAATCAATAAAAAATTTACAAATGTAATAAAAAAACCGAACCACCTGCTGATTATTTGTATTAACCTTGAACTTGAAACGAAAGAGAAACGATTTTTTTTTCGTGGAAAATCTTCCAACGGTAAAAAAAATGCTATTATTTCGTGAGTCAAAAGTGTGTTTTAATTTTTTATTCGTTCTGTCTATAAGCAGTTTGGTTATTTTAATAAAACGAAAGAATTGCTTTTGACTTCATAATATAAGATTTTTCAGTTTGAATTTTTTTTTTTCATCAGAAATAAATTTAACGGTTTAATATTGTTTTAAGGCGTTTTTCTTACATTAAAAAAATTCTATTTCTTTTTTAATGATTTCAAAAAAATCTATTTTTTGGCGGAAAAGATCATGCATGAAAAAGTGGCCGAAATAGGAAAGAGTCTAGAATAAGGTAAAAAAAAAACTTACCTCCTTGTTAAATTGTAATCCTCTCGGACGATCCGCAGCAAGGAGAACAAGATCAGTGGGCGAATCACAAGAACAAGCACAAAACAGAACACGCGGTCGGAAAAAGCACTTGTACGCTGACGAAGAGCGGACACGAGATGACGCTCATGAGACGGCGCGGCATGCACTGATCGCTTTGTCGAGAAACGGACCCGGCGGGGGTGCAACGGTCGTTTAGTTCAGACCCACGGCGGAAGATGGCGCTGACAATGCAGAACGGACACTACATTGGACTACACAAAAATTTAAAAAAACACATTTACATTTATTTATCAAAAATATATTTTTTTTAAATAATTACTAAATACTCAAAAAATCCTAGTTTAAATAATTTTATTACCCTGTTCTATAAAAAAGTATTCGTTGAATTTATTTTATTTACTTCAAAAGTACAATTAAGGCTTTAAGTCATCTAACATGTACATATATTAGGAATAAATTTAATTTTGTAATAAATGAAATAATATTATAATAAAACATATTACAAAATATGAATGAATGGAAAGCTTTATTTACACAAAATTATTTACATTAAATTTACATTTTGAAAAGCTAAATTGACAATGGCCTTAGCCGTCTGTCGAGTTGCTTTATAAATTTATTTCCTTCCGTTAAGGATTCCAATAACTTCTACATCCAGCTTCAGTTTCCCAAAGTACCTTTGGCGGAATTCTCTCAGAACTGGGCACACTCCTATGAAGTGGAGAGTGTCCTCTGGGACGTTGAGGTTATATAAAGAGTACATGATGGCATGGTCCTGTCTCCAAGGTTGGCAGTTCAGCTGAAGCAATTCACCCCTCGCCCTCAAAACCAGAGACACCTCATAGGCTGTCATATTAGAGCACTCCGTGTAGTTTCGCCCAAAGAAAAATCCAGTCTTGCGTACGGGTTAACAGGTCTTTCCTTTTTAATCAGGTCAGTGGTATTAGAGGACTTCAGTTCCTCCCTACTTACTCCTACACAGCCTACCTAACTGTGACAGCTGCTTGTGCCATAATATGCCTTTATTTATTACCACGTCAGCCAAAACCTGCGTCAGTCTGTCAGGTGTGTGATTCAGACTTTCCTAATATATTTCAAATGCAGGCTCAAAGTGTGACTGTAGAGTGGCAGGACCGAGCAATACATAAGATGTACTCTGGGGTGCTAATTGGCAGGCAGAGCAGTTTCTGGATGAAGTATTTCTGGACCTTTTCTACTTCCTTCAAGTATAAGTAACCCTAGACCTGTGCACCATAACATACTGCAGATCTTAGTGTTGAATATCACTATCTTTCTCTCTAGTGAGATCTTCTTGTTGGTCATTATTTTGCGCCACAAAATATACAAAACAATAATGATTATTCTTTAAAATTTCAATTAATTTTTACCTAAAGTCTTGGTCGAGATGAAAAAGTTATTGTCAAGGGCGGGATTCGAACCCAAGATCGCCTTAATACGCCGTTGCTCTAACCACTTGAGCTACTTGAGCTTCCTAACTAAATGGACATTTAAAGAATATTGGTATAATCCAAGACGGCATATCAGATTCTGCAAAGAAGCAGAGGAGACACCACTACACCTACTAACAAACTCTGGTGCTACGCTTTCAGGAGGAAGTGCTTTGGATGTACAATGTGACTGTATTAGAAATTCAACCACTGAAACCGAGCGTACTAATCAAGTTCCTCGATGAAGTAGTACTTACTTACCTTGTGTTTTAAGCACAGAACGGGGGATACAATAGTTCTTAAAGGGTGCAGTATATTACACCCCAACTAATACTTCTAGTTATACATTAAACGACAGGTGTTTCAAAAGTTTTATCTCATTCTGCTTTTTTTCATAATGAGGTTTCATCACTCGATTATAAATAATTAACATTTTAATTAAATGAATCCATATGTCTTTATAGAGGTCATCATTGACCTATTCAATTATTTCAATTAATTATACTTCTTATTGAAAGTCTTGGTTGAGATGAAAAAGTTAGTGCCACGAGTGGAATTCAAATCCATGACCTAGTCCATCCGTTTCTGCTGTAACCACGTAAGCTATCATCCTTATAACGATCCCACACGTGACACTTTCTTTTTCATCTCAACCAAGACCTTAGATAAAAAGAATGATTAATAAAAAATATTTCATTTAATTATGCTTTTCATCCAAGGTCTTGAATTCGAACACACGACCTTCAGCTCAATACGCTGTTGGTCTAACCCCCTAGCTATCATGCCATCATCCCACACAAAACTCTTTCTTTTTCATTTCAACCAAGACCTTAGATAAAAAAAATAATTAATTGAAATTGTTTCAGTTAATTATACTTTTTATCTAATGTCTGAGATTTGAAACTTGGACACCCACTGATCTTAACCTACAACCTTTTGAATTTTCTCTCTTTTTACATTATTTTTTAACGTTGTGGTGTCAGAATTTGATTCTCAGCGACTTATGAAGTGTGCACCTGTTAGCAAAGTAATTACTTCTTTAATTACTATATTAATCCATACATGTTTAGCAGTCATAATCAACTCTAACCCTAACCATAGCAATGCCTAACTATTTTATTTAAACTGACTGAGTTCGGTTCAACAATGTTTACTAATATTTTACATAATTTATAATTCATCATGTTTATGTATACAGACATGTAAAAGAAAATCTGTTTTTATAGTAGTTTTCTTTATACACTAAATGAACGTTCACTTGGAGCAGTTTTCTCAATTCTACCAGTTTGGCTGTCGTTTCTCCTCGCTACACCACTGCGGCCTATACTAAAGATACAACAGTGGAGTTTGTATCTTCCTATCATTACATCAGCCATTTTTTGTTCCCCCAGGATAAAGCTTGCTTGCATAATGCAAAAACTACGAGGGAAAAATTATATGGTATATTTAAGTAACCTCTTTCATAATCCATATATGCTTAGTGGTCATAATTGATCTATTTAATGATTTCAATTAATTATACTTCTTATCTGAAGTCTTGATTGAGATGAAAAAGTTAGTATATGACCGGGATTCGAATACATGGCCTTCGACTCAATACGTTGCTCTTCTAACCACTTGAGCTATCGTGACTTCGATCCACCCAGGCACCAACTACTCATCTCAACCTACAACGTTTCGCATTTTCCCTTTTGTAGGTTGAAATGTAGTTGTCCGAGTAGTTGGTGTCTGGGTGGATCGAAGTCACAATAGCTCAAGTGGTTAGAAGAGCAACGTATTGAGCCGAAGGTCATGGGTTTGAATCCCGGTCATACACTAACTTTTTCATCTCAACCAAAACTTTAGACAAGAAGTATGATTAATTAAAATCTTTCTTAATCTTCAGACCTGTCTCAATAATTAAAAAGTACCTTCCTTTTAGGCAGACAACCCTGACTGGATATATTCCCATGTTATAAAAGACCAGTTGTATTTTTTAATTTATATTATTTAAATTAATGTTATTGGGCAGGTGCAAAAATAAAGAAGATTTTGAAAAGGCAATTAAAACTATTTTTAATTGTTAGAAAATAAAGAAAATTTATTCGAAATATTTTCCATCACAATCTATATTTCTTTGCCAACATCAAGGCTCGAAGGGACGTTTTTTTACGCATTTTTCCAGAAAAACGCAAAAAAAAACCAAAAAATCGAAAAAATATTGTCTTTTTCGATGTAAAAGGCTCGTAGGCACGTTTTTTAAGTATGTTTCAAGAAAAGCGCAAAAAACTAAAAAAAATCGAAAAATTTTTTAGTCCGATAAAAATCGAAAAAAATTTTATTGTCTTTTTCGATGTAAAAGGCTCGTAGGCACGTTTTTTACGTATTTTTCAAGAAAAACGCAAAAAAAAAACAAAAAATCGAAAATTTTTTTTCTTTTTCGATGTAAAAGGCTGGTACGACACGTTTTTTTTACGTATTTTCAAGAAAAACGCAAAAACTAAAAAAAATCGAAAATTTTTTGTCTTTTTCGATAAAAATCGAAAAATTTTTTATTCTTTTTCGATGTAAACGGCTCGTAGGCGATTTTTTTTACGTATTTATCAAGAAAAACGCAAAAAACTGAAAAAAATCGAAAAATTTTTTATTGTCTTTTTCGATGTAAAAGGCTGGTACTACACGTTTTTTTTACGTATTTTCAAGAAAAACGCAAAAAACTAAAAAAAATCGAAAATTTTTTTAGTCTTTTTCGATAAAAATCGAAAAAATTTTATTGTCTTTTTCGATGTAAAAGGCTGGTACGATACGTTTTTTTACGTATTCTCAAGAAAAACGCAAAAAACTTTTTAAAAAAATCTAAATTTTTTTTCTTTTTCGATGTAAAAGGCTCGTAGGTACGTTTTTTTAACGTATTTTTCAAGAAAAATGCAAAAAAACCCCAAAAAATCGAAAAAAAATTTTATTGTCTTTTTTGATGTACGACACGTTATTATATATTACGAATATTAAGATTTATATTTATCTTGGTATTTATACCTTTTTTTCAATCTGGGGATTGAAATATATTCATAACATTGCCTATTATCCCCAGGCAAATTTAGCAGAGCGGTACCTCCAATGAATAAAGAAAAGCATAAGAGCTTATCACTGCGAATTTTCATTACACGACATTTGAAAAATGGCAAAAAGGAGGGAAAATTCAAAAGGTGGGGTTGAGATGGGAAGTTAGTGTCCGAGTGGATCAAGGTCACGATACCTCAAGTGGTAGAGCAGCGGCGTATCTAGCCGAAGATCGTGGGTTCGAATCCCGCTCGTGCCATTGACTTTTTTATCTCAACTAAAAACCTTAATTAATTTAGGAGAATTACAATTTTTTATGCATACCATAATTGCTAGCTTTTTTTTTAATTTTTAGAATATTTTTATTAATGTTAGAGTAAACAACTAATTCATAACAAAAGAAATAGTTGATGAAATGAATAAAGTTGAAATTTGAAGAAACCACAAGTCACTATTGAGGAGAATTACCATCTTTTGATACTTACCATAATTATTACTATATTTTTTGTAATTTTTAGAATATTTTTATTAATGTTAGTGTAAACAACTAGTTCATAACAAAAGAAACGCTTGATAAACAAACAGAGTTGAAATTTGAAGAAACCACAAGTCACTTCTGACCCCAGAATGCCAAAACCCAAAGCCACTAAGGATATGTACGTGTAGAATTGAGCTTTTAAAAATAAATCAATTTACCACAAATTGGAAAATTGGTTTTGAAAAAGGTTTTTTAGTCGAGAGAAAAAAGTCAGTGACACGAGCAGGATTCGAACCCATGACCTTTGGCTAGATGCGTCACTGCTTTACCACTTGAGAATTGTGACTTCGATCCATTATCTCATCTCCACTATCCACTTATCTCAACTAAAAAACCTTAATTAATTGAAAGAAATTAATTGGTCAAGCGGACCACAAAAACTAATGAATTTAATAAGTTTAAATGAAGTATACCTTCACTAAAGCTCTCCATGTCCATTTCATTTGTCGCCGAGAATCAAATAGATTGCACGACATTTGAAAAATGGCAAAAAGGAGGGAAAATTCAAAAGGTGGGGTTGAGATGGGAAGTTAGTGTCCGAGTGGATCGAAGTCACAATAGCTCAAGTGGTAAAGCAGCGGCGTATCTCGCCGAAGATCATGGGTTCAAATCCCGCTCGTGACGCTGACTTTATTATCCCAACTAAAAAACCTTAATTAATTGAAAAATATTGAACAACTTTACACAAAAGCTAAAACGAGACTCTAAAAAGAATATAAAATTAATAATATTCATGTTGATGAAATGGTAGGGAACCATGGGAGATAAATTGTTAGGATGTCCAATTTGCCACGCCTGGGATTGACATTGGATCTAAGGCTAAAATAAATATAAAAGCATAGAACAATAAAAGAGAAAATGGTAAAGGAAGGCAGCATAAATGGTGTCTCAAAGGTTCAGTTAATTCTTGAATAAATTCAATACTAAAATATAGCACTTTGTTTCTTCATTTAATTATTAAAACGTATACAGATTATACATGTTTACAATTTTTGTGAGTAAATCCAAAAGGAAGCATACATTTGAACAATTTTATGGAAGGTTTACAGTTAATTTTAACCATTTAACTGATTTATATATAATTATTGTTGTAATTTACAAGTTTTATTTTTATTTTTCAGAAAAAACAGAAGATACTTTCCACTAGTACGATTACTATTTAAAGCGTTTATTTTCCCTTTTTCAATTTGATGTTATTAATGTGAACAATAATAACATATTGAACTATTATTAAAATTTTATTTAGTCAATGAATATATTATTCCTTTGATAGTTTTTTCTTTAAACATAATTTTTTTTTTATTTACAAAGACTGTCATAAGGAATAACACCAACAGCAAAAATATTTTCATTTGAACAGATCTGCCAGATCATGCGAAAAATTCAATACAATTAAATAGTATGCTATATTTAAACTGTTCAATTTTTTGTTTTTTACAAGAATTAGACAAATATTTTTTCTTAATTTTATTTTGTATAATAATATAATTTTTATCATTAGGACAACTACTACAATCATTTACTGCTAAACATCTATTACGATTTGTTAGAAATATGGTCCTTTCTTTCAGTATTTTTATTTTATTTACATTGAATTTAATTTTTATTTTAACCATAAATTATTAAAATTTATATTATAAAAATAACATGATTAATTTTTAAGTTAAATAAAGAACACAAGGAATGATTATTAACTTATTTTAATATAAAATTGATTATACACTTTAAATATAATAAATAAAAATGAAAAATATGAAATTTGTGTTTATTATGTATGTACAAAGTTCATTGATATGTTTAAGAGTATTAAGAGGTAATAATTTTCCAAACAAAAGACCAAATTTGCTTGGAAAATCAATAAAAAGAAATCTGTAATGAATATCACATTCTCAATTAATTTTTTTTTTTAAATATGAATTTCAACTAAATAACACCGTGGTCAGTTCGATTTGATTAACATGTGACTAATCAATTAGGAACGAATCGCTTGTTCAGAGATTAAATCCATGTCTGAGAAGGCGCTTGCCTCCGCCGGGCGTCCTGTCAGGATCCCTCGCCATGCCGCCATGTCTTTCTCGAACGGAAATTGTTGTGATATCCATCAGTAATCGTCGTTAAACCAGACGGATTTGTGTTCGCGACTGCTCCCCGATGCATTGTGCCTATAACCGTTAAATTGAGTTAATTTACATAAAGAAGATTTACGTTTTACCTGGAAATTTAGCATGTATTTCTATTTTTTTAATAATAGTATGGTGAACAATAAAAAATATATATTACATGTGATTAAATGAAACTTAATTTTAATAATGGTAATAAAAATATTTTAAAAAATAATACGGTTTGAATACCACACAATTAAGAAATTTTGTGAGCTTTTCTGCAGGTTGATGAATCTTTAATTTGATCATTATCAATAATTACGATCTGCTTATCCTTGCTAAATGTGTTTCGACAATTTGCCATGTTCGGTGTTGGATCTGGGTAGTTAATTGTCTGAAAGACCAACCCAGCGAGGATTGGCAGAGCAAAATAATTGATAATATCAAATTTACCAATTTTATTATTGTTCAAAATTACCAAGTTGAATTAACTCTCCGATGCTTTATTATTTATTTACTTTAATGGTATAAATAGGGCTTTAAGCCCCCTTACATAAAATAGATGATAGATATTAGGAAAATTTATTTGATTTAATTTTTAAGGTCATAACAGTATCTAATGCAGGAATGATAAGCAATTTGAAGATGATGAGCAGATTAAGAGTCTAACGAAAGTGAAAAAATAGCGCTACAATAAGAGAATAATGGAATTATTAAGGATTTAATAAGGAAACCTCTAGTTTTCTGTGGAGTGAAAAAACTATCTTCAAATTCTATCTCCTTTCTTTTCTCAATCTCAGCTTGTGTATCCCAAGGCTCTATTTTTGGACCTTTACTCTTTTCCATGTTTTTAATCCGCACACGGTCATGCCATGTAAGCTTAGAGTTAAAAATAATACCAAGATTTTTAAAACTTGAGGACAAAAATTAATAGAGTAGCGGGATGGGCAATCTGTATTGGGTTTAAAATTAATAAGGACTGGGATTTGTTTTGGTTTAAAAGAATGCCGTTATTTCTTGACCATTGGTTGAAAGAATGAAGAACACGGCTGAGCAGAGAGATAGCTTAAGAAATGTTGCTTGTAGGACATTGAAAGTAAGCTGACTGTCACCAGAATAATGATGAAATTAGGAGAAATTAAGAACTAATGGAAGATCATTTAAAAACATGGAAAAGAGTATAGGTTCAGAAATAGAGCCTTGCGGTACACCAGCTGAGATTGAGAAAAGAAAGGAAATAGAATTTGAAGATTTAACTCTCTGTGTTCTGTCAGACAGACAGGAGTAAATGAAATTAGTAGCAGTAGAAGAAAAACCAAAAAGATGCGTCTATTTCCAAATAAGCAAATTTGATTTACAGGAATACATTGATTGGAAAAATCAAGTGGAACAATAATAGTACACTTATTATTAATGCCAAATTTAAGAAGGGGTGTCTCACAACCATGAAATTGGATTTATTTATTTATTTTTCATTAAAAATAAATAAGTCTATACATAAAAGCCCTTATGTTTAAGTACTCTTCCCAGGCAAAAAATATTTTAAGTTTTTGTTAACAAAAATCAAATTTATCTGTGGCAAACAAATAAAAATAAATAATGAATCAATATTTCTAGATGTAGATGTAAAATTTCCAGGTAATTAAGTATTCTGGGCTCGTTGAGAGCTAATTTGTCCTTCTGTACCTATAGCGCGCTGAGTCCCAAACAGACCCATCAGCTTTCTTTCTGAGATGCCCATATTCTTAAAAGACTATTTTTAAAATGTTTGATACCAACCCTTGAAACACACAGAATCATTCATTCTAATCAATTCGGTTCCATCTCCATCATTCCATGATCCAGCAAAGTTAAGAATCATTGAAACCATTTCCTCCAATCTAGAGAACAACTCGGGTGCATTCCTGATGTGATGCGGATTAAAAACATGGAAAAGAGTAAAGGTCCAAAAATAGAGCCTTGGGATACACGAGCTGAGATAGAGAAAAGAAATGAGATAAAATTTGAAGATTTAACTCTCTGCGTTCTGTCAGACAGGAGGAAATGAAATTAGTAGCAGTAGAAGAAAAACCAAAAAGATGCGTCCATTTCCAAATAAGTAAATTTTGGGCTTTTAATAGGGTGAGGCATTCAGGCAATTTTGGTGCATTCTTGGATGTGGTGCAGGCTTTTAACAGGGGGAGGCGACAAGGCAATTTTTATTAACTTAAACGCTTCTTCCTCGTCCTATATTAACTTATCCTTGAAATGTAATGAACTGACTGTTGCTTCAGTGAGGTGCAGCAACTCAGATATCAAACCAATTCAAGTAGGTGTATCACAAGGGAACATTCATTGTCCCATTCTATTTATACTGCTGATTTTCCTTTATCACCTATAGGGAAAGTACTTCAATGATAGAAATCAAAGAACAGATTAATTAAAACTGTTCATTTTTGGAAATACTATATGGTCGATATTTCACGCATATTGTAGGGTACATTAGAGGATCTCAAAGAATTCCTCTTTAATTAATTAATATAAATTTTACGTTGAAAATTAACAAAGATGGTTATTTGAACTTTTTAGACTTAAAATTGTCCATAATAAACAACCTAATAGAAATAGAGGTATATAGAAAACCCACAACTACAGACGCAATGATACCAGTGGATTCTTCCCACCCATGGTCCCAAAGGCTGCTGGTTTCATTTGGCTCATAGACCAACTGTTAAAACTTCTATTAACACCCTCTAACTATAAAACAGAATTAGAAACTATTAAAACCTTAGCAAAAAAACAATTGGTATCTAGAAATATTTATTGATAGGTTGCTAGTTAAAAGAATAAAAAAATTAACTATAAAAGAATCAACAATAGGACTCAGCCACCAAAACTACTGTGAGTAGGAACTATCTTTTTTAAAAAAGTATTGAACTTCAGTGATGTCTTCTAACCCAAATCCTATCCGAGCAACCTCCAACACCAAACAACAGTTTATGACTGGTTCAAAAAGTGAAGGGAAGTCTGAATATAGAAAAATGTACATTTATACGATCTTTAAACCTGAATTAAACGACGATGGCCTGAGGACTTCTTCAACCCCTTATTCCCTCATAATCTTCCAAATTGAGTGCCACCATTGGCTGGTTTCTCGAGGGTGACAGGTCTGTAACTTTTTGAGTGTAGCATTTTTGAGAAAAAATATTAATTTACTATTTATTCAGAAATAGTGAGATGCGGTCTGGTGTGACAGAAAAACATTTTCTTTATCGTGCCAATGTTTCGATCTTTATTGAGATCATCTTCAGGGCCTTTTTTTTGCATTGTATAAATTCACTTTTTTCCACATCCTACATGCTTTTGTTAAATGTAAACAATGTTTGTAAATCCCAGGCCCTGAAGATGATCTCAATAAAGATTGAAATGTTGGCACAATAAAGAAAATGTTTTTCTGAAACCTACATCACACCAGACCGCATCTCACAATTTCTGAATAATCATCGACTAACGGTCACTAATCACCATGCATTAATTTACTGCACTATTAGAGTGCCAAAGAAAATATAATGCCAAGAAATGAAAAATATAACAAATAATAATAAAACACTTTAATCTTATTATAAAGGCATTGGAGGGTTAATATTTACTTTTTTAAATTATTCTTTTTTGGTTCATTATAAGATAGACCTGCTTCAGTATTTTGAAAAATGTTAGTACAAAAGCATTAAATGAATAATAAAAATAAATTATTAAACAAATAAAAATAAAAATGTATGAAATGTCACCATAACACTCAGTGTTTATAGTATAGCGTTACTTATAGTTTCTGCTAATTAATCAGAAATCGAGAGATGCGGTCTGATGTGATGTAGCTTTCAGAAAAACATTTTCTTTATCGTGCCAACGTTTCGAACTTTATTGAGATCATCTTCAGGGCCTGTGATTTACAATCATTGTTTACAATTAACAAATACATTTAGGATGTGGAAAAGTGAATTTATACAATGCAAAATATATTTTTTATGTTCAATCAAAGTATTTCTACTCACTCAAAGTGTTTGTCTTCTGTGTAATTGTGCCATTCTTGCGTGTCGTGTTGAGAGTGCCAGTGAGATTTTGCTGTTTTTTGTTTATATACGTTGGATTTTGAAGGGGTGGGGAAGGAAGTCGGTATAGATAAACATAAAACAGCAAAATCTCACTGGCACTCTCAGCACGACATGCAAGAATGACACAATTACACAGAAGACAAACACTTTGAGTGAGTAGAAATACTTTGATTGAACATAAAAAATATATTTTGCATTGTATAAATTCACTTTTCCACATCCTAAATGTATTTGTTAAATTTAAACAATGTTTGTAAATCCCAGGCCCTGAAGATGATCTCAATAAAGATCAAAACGTTGGCACGATAAAGAAAATGTTTTTCTGAAACCTACATCACACCAGACCGCATCTCACGATTTCTGAATAATTATCAATTAACGGTCACTAATCACCACACGTTTCTGCTAATATTTACTTGCTAATCAATTAAAACTGAAATTATCTAGTAACAGTAAGTAGTAGTTTTACAGTAGTAGAATTGAAAAAAATAAATCTAATATTAGAAGAATAATTATTTTACTATGTTTCTGTTAATAAAGCTTATATGTTAGAAAGGAAAGTTCCAATATATTCCAGCCAACGTGGATACCAATTATTATTGGTACAACTGTCATAACTTCAATTTTGAAGTTGAAGAATCAAGTTGACAACAGTCACTATAATATTCGATTACTACATACAAACAAACATCAACTTGACATTTATTATCTACTCATGAACAATATTGGTGATGAAGAGAAGAATTTTTTTCCCACTTACCTTTTCGTACGTGCCAGAGGTCTTTGTAGGCTAGATTCACAGTGTTGAGCACCTTCAGCATACAGTAAACATTCTATGTGATTTAAGGTGATTGAAGAAACAGTTTTTACATGCTATGGATATAGACAGATTGAGAAGAAAGACTCTCAGTGCATTAATATACAACTTCTCCTCAACATACAGCTGCTCTAGTGTCTACTCACAACAAAACAGAAATGTTTATTTTATTTTTTAAGTTTTCTTTTGTTCTATGGAATCACTGTGACCTAGTAGGAATTTTAATTTTTTTTTTGTTAAAGATTATTACACCTTTAAACATAAATTTGGTATATTTTTTTTATTTAAATGACTCCATTAACAAAATTTTACATTTATGTTAATAATGTCAAATTAACAATTTAAAAGCACTAAGCATAATTGTTTTAGACATTAATTACAAATTGTTTAATTGTTTTACATAACAAAACATTCCTTTGTACTTTGCACACATACGTAAGTGAAAAATATATTTTCATATAATAATTATTACTGAGTTGTTTTCTCATTAGAGGATGCTAAGAAACATATATGAAATTAAGATAATTTTATTATAGTATATGCTATATTTTTCTTCACAAGTTTGCCTACGTTGAGCTAATTTTTACTTCCAGAACTGAAAAATTCATCATTCTGGGAAAATTTTTTGGCAGAAAATGCTTTTTGTAAAAGTGTAAGTATCAGAAGGTAACATGGAAGAACAATCATATAATTATGATTTTAGGATTAGATAATATGTACTGAAAATAGAATTTCAGCAACAGACTTTAGTGCCAGACACAATCAAATACCGGAAGACGTCTAGAAGGACAACAGAACTGCTTACACTCTAAACACGTTACAATGACTTCTATGATTTTAATAAGTTGTGTCGCATTTGTTGTTGCAGGTTTTTTGTTTGCCAGTATGCTGATAGTCTCACTGACTGGGATAAGAAAACTTGCTAGGCAGGATTGTCATGGTATTGAATTTGTCTTTTAGGTTTATTGTGTAATTGATAGTTTTTAATTTTAAGTTGATTTTTTGAATATCTGCAATGAGCTTTCATATGTATGCAGGGGCTGTACTACAGTTGAATGATTTACGTTTTTCTTTTAATTTCATTATGACTGATATAATTGATTATGAATTATTGCAAGGTAAATTTAAAATTTAAATAATATTACATGGAACATTTATTTAATTACTTCTCTATACAAGGTTGGATAAACAGTTTTAAATATCACACAAGGAATGTTTTGCTGTTTACACAAATTATCAATAATCTATAATACACTTATTATTATTTTCATTTATTTTTATGATAATCTAGCCACTACGCATATGCACCATGCATTGCACAATCAGTTCAATTTGGCAGGTCATTCGCTACAGGCTACAGAGTCTCTGAATATGTACCGTTTCGAACGATCCTGTAGTGGGACTCTGGTGATCCAGAACAGGAATAGTTATAGCGGCTTGTGACAGCTTCACGCCTCGTCAGGCCCTCAGGGGGAACGTAGACGTAAGGACACCAGGAAAAAAATTGCTTGAAGCCTCGCCTAAACCTGAAAGCCAAACATGATTAAAAACTTTTTTAATTCAAAATTGAACATTATGCGTTAACAATTACATCATTATTACATCTACCTTATATATTCAACATTGCGATAGTATATAATATAATATAATACAGCTAGACCATTTTGCCTCAATGTGTGAAGTTTTTAAGTGAGGTAAGATTAGGTTAGGATTAAACTTAGGTTATGTTAAGTTAGGTTATGTTTGGATAAACCTCAACACACTCTTTGTCTCTTTTGTTCTTAAATACGGTCATTCCTATTTACAATTTCAATATCAATATTCCTTTATCGCCCTTAGACACAAACAGATGAATTCAACATATATTTTTCTGGTTTGCTAGTCCATGGGTCAGATCTCGGTTTATGCGCTTCGCAATCAAAGAAGTTCCAGGGATTGTCAACAGCTAGACCATTTTGCCCCAATGTGTGAAGTTTTTATGTGTGGTAGGATTAGGTTAGGTGATGTTAAGTTAGGTTATGCTTGGATTAACCTCAACACATTCTTTGTCTCTTTTGTTCTTAAATATGGTCATTCCTATTTACATGGTAGAACACTCAATATCAATATTCCTTTATCGCCCTTAGACACAGACAGATCAATTCTTTAACAAAAGGAAAGCAAAAGCTTTAACATTCAAATGGTCACTCTGACGTTTGAACAGAAGTTAAGTTTTTATTTCTTGATTTTTTTATTTTTATTTATTTATTTATATCGATATTCAATTGTGGCATGGCATTCTTACCTACACATTCACACTAATAAATACTTCACTCTCAATATGGAAGGGGAACGTAAAATAAAATGTATATCAGTATAGTAATACAATAAAACTGACTCATTTGCACCAAATATCAATACAGAAGGACTCAAAAGCTAACATTCTCAAGCATAATTCTCATATCGAGTGGCATTCCTTATGTGCTTTCTATATTGTTTTGGATTGATAGTCCATGGGTCAAATCTTGGTTTATGCGCTTCGCAATCAAAGAAGTTCCAGGGATTGTCAACAGCTAGACCATTTTGCCTCAATGTGTGAAGTTTTTAAGAGAGGTAGGATTAGGTTAGGTGATGTTAAGTTAGGTTATGCTTGGATTAACCTCAACACATTCTTTGTCTCTTTTGTTCTTAAATATGGTCATTCCTATTTACATGGTAGAACACTCAATATCAATATTCCTTTATCGCCCTTAGACACAGATAGATCAATTCAACATATATTTTTTTGGTTTGATAGTCCATGGGTCAGTTCTCGGTTTATGCGCTTTGCAATCAAAGAAGTTCCAGGGATTGTCAACAGCTAGACCATTTTGCCCTAATGTGTGAAGTTTTTAAGTGAGGTAGGATTAGGTTAGGATTATAGTTAGGTGATGTAAGTTAGGTTATGTTTGGACACAGACAGATCAATTCTTTAACAAAAGGAAAGCAAAAGCTCTGAAGTTTGAACAGAAGTTTGTTTTTAATTTTTTATTTCTTGATTGTTTAAAAATATTTTTTTATTTTTGTCGATATTCAATTGAAGCATGGCATTCTCACTTACACATTCACACTAATAAATACTTCACTCTCAATATGGAAGGGGAACGTAAAATAAGATGTATTTCAGTATAGTAACACAATAAAACAGCCTCGTTTCCACCAAATATCAAAACAGAAGGACCCAAAAGTTGACATTCTCAAACACAATTCTCATATCGGGTGGCTTATGTGCTCTCTATATGGAGTCAAGGACACCCTTCAAATATATGGGTCATATCAAGCATCTTGTCTTATCTATTATAATACAAGCCGGACAGATACCGGCTGGCTTGGGCTCAAAAGTGTCCGTGTGTCAACTTTGCATTGCTTATCGTTAATCCCTTAAGGATGAAGCCTTTTCTACAATTCATATTATCCTTTGATTATGCCTTTCTTGCATTTTTATGATGGCTGGATCGAGAGTAATAAAAATAACTTTAAACAATTTTAGAACAAAAAGAAAAAATAAATTTTCGTTTCAGTTGGAAATTTAGAAGAAAAATCAGATAATTTATTATTTTCATTGTGATTCATATTTTGAAGAATTAATTAAGGTTTTTAGTTGAGATAAAAAAGTCAATGGCACGAGCGGGATTCGAACCCACGATCTTCGGTTAGATACGGCGCTGCTCTACCACTTGAGCTATCGTGACCTCGATCCGCTCGGACACTAACTTCCCATCTCAACCCCACCTTTCGAATTTTCCCTCCTTTTTGCCATTTTTCTTTTGACTTTTTTTATCTCAACTAAAATCCTTAATTAATTGTAGTATATTAATTGGTCAAGCGGACCACGAAATTAGTGAATTTAATACATGATAACTTTAAAATGCATGGACAACAAGGAGAGAAAACCTGATTTTAAAAATATTATGTAAATTACATTTTAAAAAAAATTTCGGCCCCCATTTGCAAAAATTGCGTCTAATATTTATCCACCTAATATCACCAAAAAAAGTTTCATTGAAATCATTAATCGCCCATCCTTAGCGTCCCTTTGTGAGTAAAAAGAAAATTCTTTTAAAAGAATTTGTTGATAAGTATTAATTAATACATTTTAAAAGATCACCCAACAGGTACATATTTTAAAAAACTTAAAACTTTGAATTATTGATATTGAGTCGGAAGAGTAATTATCAAACTACTAAGAAAATGCAATAACAACACAAACCGCGCGAAATGATGTTGCTTTTTTCCTGTGGCCCAGTTTGTTGCTTTTTTCCTGTGGCCCAGTTTGCGGTATCGTCGGTATTTATTATTTCCAACGAAGCGCGTTCGATAAGACATTGTAAAATCATTAATTGTTAAAATAAATTACATTAGCTAATCATGACAGAGTATCGTATAATGACGGCATAGATTATCCCAGATAAGAGACTAATTTATGCTTATATAACGACATAACAATAATTAAACCCTGTTTTGTTCGGCCTCCTATTGATCGGACTGATTATCTAAAATAATGATAACTAAAATAATATTTAATTCAGAAAATGTTTTCCACAGTTTATCTCTCTCTCTCTCTCTTTCCTTNTCTCTCTCCCCTCTCTCTCCCTCTCTCACTCCCTCCCCCTCTCTCTCTCACTCTCTATCTCTCTATCTCTATCTATCTATCCATCTATTTTTGTCTCTCTCACTTTCTCTCTTTTTAAAATGGAAACGTATATAAAAGTAAAATAATACAAACGTGCGTTTCATTGTTTTATATTTATGATTACAATTGAAAATTGTACAAGAGTGGTTTTATCATTGTCGATCGCTGAAGCTTAAGCAACATTTCATCCCTTGACAATCGCTGTTCATTTTGACCAGGCGCGTTTACTCGTTTTGCCATCTTCGGTGGATGTCACAAGCAGGCATTGTTCCTCCGATCAAACTGTTGACAAATGTTCAACATGTTCCCACATAACTGCACAACGTTTATAACGGAGATTTCAAGCCACACTTTTCCACTCAATCATGGACAAGTTCTTGTCTTTCCCTCTGTCTTTTTTCCTTCCTATTGTTTTTATTGTTCACATACGCATTTATTTATTACAGATATTTTAACCTTAAATGGCACACAGAGGGATTTAGATTCTTACAGTAATATGTATATAATCTTTGTAATTTGCAGTATTTAGTCATATAAGCTTTTAATTACGATGGATATATCTATATTGTGAAAAAGGGTTTTATAAAAAATTACAATGTTAACAATAATTAATCTTTAATTAAGGTATTGGTTGAGATAAAAAAGTCAGTGTCACGAGCGGGATTCGAACATACGACCTTCGGCTTGATACGCCGCCACTCTACCACTTGAGCTATCATGACCTCGATCCACTCGGACACTAACTTCCCATCTCAACCCCACCTTTTGAATTTTTCCTCCTTTTTGCCATTTTTCAAATGTCGTGTAATCGGATTGGATTCTCGGCGACAAATGAATTGGCCACGGAGAGCTTAGTGAAGTTTATAGTATATACTAAGTATATAGGTATTTTTTATCTCAACTAAAAACCTTAATTAATTGAAAGATATTAATTGGTCACGAAAACTAGTGGAATTCAATATGTAATATAATTTGTATACAATAAAGTATTGTACGTACACTTAAAAGAATAAAATTGGATTTTAAAGTAATGGGATATTTACATTTGGATTTCCAATAGAAGAGTTATTTTAAATTGTAAGTTAAGAGCTTTAGAACAGTACTTGAGGATTTAGTTTAGTTGTTCAAAAGTGCGTATGTCTAATAAATCATACATATGTGGGGTTACTCAGAGGTCGGGGATCAAGATTGATCTTATGGTGCTAAACATTAAGATAACATAACATTGTAATATAACATTCCAAAACACGTAATGCATTTTGTGTCAGGATTAAATTGATATGTTTTTCTATTATAGTACAAAAAAGATTGCTTAAAGATTGCACTAGCCAATCTTAACTGGCAAATTAGACAAAGTTTTTTTTTGTTATTTTTTGATAGATTAAGTTTGACGAAGGTTCCTAAAATACTTATTAATTTTACATATACATATTTTTATTTCAAAGCTTTCTACATTCACTCTCTCTTTCTCTCTCTCTCTCTCTCTCTCTCTCTCTCTCTCTCTCTCTCCTTGGAGCCTTGTAAAGCCGAATAAATCCTCCGTGAAAATTAGGCCGATGAAATAAGCCAGAAAAGAGGAGGATAGATAATCGAGAATTATAAGAGATGCATTCTTACGCACACGAGCCGGATTCGAACCCACTCTACCACTTGAGCTATCCTGACTTCGATCCACTCGGACACTAACAAAAGGTGGGGTTGAGATGGGAAGTTAGTGCCCGAGTGGATCGAAGTCAGGATAGCTCAAGTGGTAAAGTTACAATCAAATGTGACTTTTAATAAGTAAAAATGAAGTATACACTAAAGCTCTGCGCGGCCATTTCATTTGTCGCCGAGAATTAAATAGATTACACGACATTTGAAAATGGCAAAAAT